AGGTAAGGTAAGTATCATCTCTTCTATGTATGGATGTTTTGAATGTAAAGAAAGAGGTAAGGTAAGTATCATCTCTTCTATGTATGGATGTTTTGAATGTACTGTATGTCACCTCATGAAAGTAAATTGATCATTCAACTACTGTATATAACTAATCAGACTGACAGCATTTTTTCTGATTCTTTTTTTTGTCAGTATGAAAAGTGTAAAATGATATTCTCCTAGTGGGAAAGAAAGATATAATAGACCAGAGATTATTATTTTTGTAGCTGTTCACATTGATGGAATTTATTACTGCAGTTCAAATGTATAATGTGCATGGATGTTGATCCAAATGAGCAAAAGTTGTTCTATGACAAGAAAATATTTTACAAGCAGGTGGCACTGTGGCATGATGGTAAGCAGTGCTGCCTCACCGTTAAAGGATACTGGTTTCAAATATGGCCAGGAGTGGCCACATAGTGATAGGTTGATTCTTTGCTCATTCCATAATTAACTGGAGTGGGGCACCTTCCTTGATAATCTTCCATGTCTGGAGTAGGTATGCTACAATGCCAATTCTAACATAGGTGGGATTTGGATCAAAGTGAAACTTTTCTCATGGATTGCTATAAAACTCTACATTTCTTTTTGTGTCCTCCACTTAGTTAAATGTACTGTATATAAATGTTTCAACCATGGTAATGATAGCTACAATGCAAAAGAAAAAGCAGCACACTATATGTCAAATGATAGGTGATGCAATGATAGAAAACAACAACTGCCACACTTGAGGTATAAAGAATTCAGCAAAGAAGCATGCAATTTGTTTCCCATGATATAATTTATTGCTCTGTATATGCAAGGTACTGTATTTTGCTGTTTGGGAGAAAAGAGAAAAAAATGAGCTACTTTCATACTGATATGTTTTGTGTGAATATTCCTTTATGTTGGCTTTTTAACCTTTATGCAAACTGGAGTTTGCAAACTGGAGTTTGCATATTATTTTAATATATGAACACATTAATGAAATAGCTATAGGTCTTTAGTTACTTTTGTTTCAAGTTTATTCAAGTTTGAAGTTCAAGGAAAGGTATTCATTGAACACAAAGGAACACAGGGAAAAGTAACTGTGACTAACTGATTTGTACAAGTAGTCATCTTTAAGAGAGTGAGTCATCTAATTGAATACAGCCTCCAATCCTATTATTTGACAGCAGAGGTGTCATTTAGCCGAGCTTCTTTTTGGTCTTAAACTTTAAATAATACAAGTAAATTTTAAAGAAAAATGACAAAGACAACTAGCACATTTGGAATGACACCTTCACTAATGGAACACAAATTGCTAGAATGGATTTGTACATTTGTCACTTGCCAAAGAATGTGCACTTTCTTGCAAAATGGTTAATTGAAAAACAGTCAATCTTTATTACACTGAAATAGGATATATCATAATGCTTTATAAATAGATTAGACTTTTAAATAGGCTGGCACAAACTTGTCTGCCTAGCAAATGCATTTATGCTTCCATGTAAGGAAATCTCAAAGTGATTGTAAGTCATTTCCTTTTTAACTGTCTGTGCCTGAAGACCAGGTAGTGAAGCAATCTTTTACTAGGTAGTTGTACTCCATCAAATAATTCATTTTTTGACAAAAATAGGGCCCTGCATCCACCATTATGGCAGCCTGATATGCATATTCAGCATCGCTTAAAATCCTCTTCTTGGGCCTGTTGTACTGATTGAATTGAAACTTGATAGATTTAATCAACGTACAAAGCACAAAAATTACAAATGTTATTAAGTGTCATTCTATCATTCTATTTCAAGATGTCTACATATCATCCATTTATTTTCTTACATCTCGAAGTGATTGGGCCCGTCTTGCTCATTTGGCAATTCAGTAAATCTAAACCGTTGTCCAACTGTTTCTGAAACATGCCCAAAATTTGGACCTCAACTACCTGGATGTTACAGATACCCAAAGAAGTGTTTTCTATTCTATTTTGTACACGAATGAGTGTTAAACAGTTCCCTGGGTTGAACCTAGAGTATATATGCCCCTTGCCCTTTAGGATTTTGGATCAAATCTTCTCTAAGTCTCTCTCTCCTCATGACTGGAGGGATTTTGTTCCTCTTAAGTTATCCATAAATGATAATCCACCTGAGAACAGAAATCATTCTTGTTGTTCATATGTACTTGTTACTCTTATTTGAACACTTTCTAAGGCTATTATATTTTTTGTGGTTTGGTGACCAAAACTGAATACAAAATGTGGTTTTACTAATGCATTGCAGAGTTTTAGCATACCCTCTGTGGATTTAAATTTCATACTTTCTGTTGTATACCCAGTCATTCTATTTGCTTTTTTATTGCTTTTCCACACTGTCTTGACGAGGACATGGAAGAATCTATAGAAACACCCAGATCGCTTTCGTGTGTAACTTCCTGCAGCCCAGAAGCACCCATGCAATGACTACCAATGCAAGCACCTTTTTCTGCATTTGCCACTCTTGCTATTTTAGTGTCATCAGCAAAGCTGACAAATTTGTTTATAACTATACACAAATCTATATAATTTGTAGTCTGGAAGGAAGAGCAATATGCCTAAACATATCCCTGTGGTACACCACCTCACACATCTGTTAATGGTTCTAGTTCTTGATCCATATGCATACATTACATTTCTTTTAATTTATGAGAGAACTCATCAAAAGTTGTTTAGAAAATAGAAATGCTATATATAATTTCATATGCTTTAGTGTTATCTAATGTCTTTATTGCTTGTTCACAGGATTTAGGTAATTTAAAAAAAATGTTATTTTCTAAACCCATGTTGTTTGTCTCTTAAAATGCCCTTATTTTATATTTTTCTCATTTAGATCTATCATTTTAAATTTCCCTGTAACAGAAACAAGAATGATTTATCTGCAGTTAACTGATTAAGTTTGGTCCTCCTTTTTGTAGATTGGTGGCTTTCGGTACTGCTCCCATTCTAAGTGGGAGTTGTGATTTCCTACTGTAGCTAGGGGTTATGAATAATATCCCTTGATTCCTTATGTATGACTGAGAAAATACCATCAGATCTTAGAGATTCATTTATTGTCGTCCTTTTAGAGTGTGCTCTTCATTTTGCAGTTTCCCTAATGTTTCATCAAACCATTAAGGCTGTATTTACCTGAGCTTTTAGGACTTTTACATTTTAACATACAGTTTTTTTAAACAGATTTCATGGACAATCCGATTTAACAGAAGCTCAAAAATGTTTAAGCAGATATCATTCCAGGCACTTGCTTGCTGATGTTTAAATTGTGTTAAATGAGATAGCATGTACTGTGTTTTGTAAGAAACTTCAACCTCTTTCTTTAGAACCAGTAAACTTATTGATATTAAACTTGGTACTTAATACAAAGCAATATCAGCAGCAATGGTGGCATTGGTATTTATCATCCTCCAATAAACAAAACCAAAATATTTAATGTTTAAATGTATGTGCTTGTTGGTTTCAGGGTATTTAAAGTAGTGCAATGCAATGTATTTTTGTAAGGGCTCTGTCACGTCATGTAGTTATGCATCCTAGAAAATTACAAATTATTACAAATTTTAAAATTATTTTCCTAAAATACTTAAAATCTGATTAAATTAATTAGCTAAATCTCTCTCAAAAATTTTAATGTCAAATTTATCATAGCATTTCATAAAAAGAACATGCTAGGAATCCATCAAAACTGCTTGCAATTCTAGTTCACCTTTTTTCTGAAGACCTAGGAGAAAAATAAACTAGATCTATTTTCTCTTGTCAAGCGTTGAAAATTCTGAGGCATTTCTTGAGAAAAATTAAGCTCCAGTTGTTCTTATACTTGAAAAAGAAAATTGGCTCGAATGGCCACTGTTGATTGATAATTAGCTGGACGTTTCTCTACTGATGAAATGCAAAACATAAATACACTATAGCATCTGTCTAGACTGGATGTCTTTTTCATTTACTAAGTGTAATTTTACCTAGAAGCAAAGGACCTCATGCTGTAACATGACAATGTACATTCACACAAAGTAAGGCTGAGCAGTTTCCTGAAGTTTATTAAAGATCTGGATTCTGAACCTTTAACCCATCTTAGGGTCAGAATCTTACACTGCCTAATGGAAGAACCTCTGAGTTGGAGCTTTTATGATGCTGATCAAGTTCAAGTGGAGGTGCAGAAAGCAGTCAAGGACAAGTGAAACTCATTTTATTACAAGTCCATAATTATTTTTTTTCTTTTCCTTTTGTATTCCTGTTTTGTGCAATTATTTTAGTTTACAGCACCTTGAGATGATGTAGTATGAAATGCACTACATAAAATAAATATGATTATCATAAGTCTGTGAAGCAATGGCATATGTGGATGGATGTGTTTTGAATTTTGGAAAATAAAGCATCCGTGAGCACCTGTGAAGCACATTTGGTAGATAATTCATAAGTTCCCTTTACTTATTGACCTACCCTATTATACCTTCAACGTTGGCATCTCAGAACCTAGTGCAGCAGCTGTTATTGAAGCTGGTGCTGTGTGGTATGAATAAGAAAAGTGTTATTTGTGAAAAAAATATCAAGAGTGGGAATTCTGCTGTGAAATGAAGCTAGCTTGAAGTTTTTGCTGCAAACAACTTTCTGCATGAAACTTTTGAAAACAAACTTCTTTCAAACAGTGCCCAATATCCATGCCAGAAGACTGACTTGGCCACATGATCTTAATCCCTCTAATCATTATGTGAACACCTGAAAGATTGAGTATTCCATGCTAACTGCTGAGGATTTAAAGGCAGCAATTCAATAGGTTTATCTAGTTTCACCTGAGTTTCAGGCCATGTTAAGATTTTAAAAAAATATTTTTTTCTTAGTGAGGATTTAGTCAAATTTACAGCTGATCCCATTAATTCGATGTTACTGTGTATATATCTGTAAAAATATATTTAAAGGGTTTTATTTTTTTAGATTCTGACCATATAGTTCTCTTTTGTTTTAATCTTTTGTTTTTCAGAAGCCTGGAATGGACCTAGCAGATACTTATATAACCTTTGTACGACAGAACCAGGATATTCTGAGAGACAAGGTCAATGAGGAAATGTATACAGAAAAAGTATTTGATGTAAGTGACTACGCTTGCAAAGCATATTAAGGAATACATTTTGAGAGTATTTGGGAAAAGAGGGGTGTGGTGAGTTATCAGTTTAAACTTGATTGTGCCATAGTGAATTTGCATGCTTACTGAAAAAAAATTGAGTGTATTTTAAACTAATGCTTAAACTAATTTGAATACTAAAATTAGATAGTTGAGGGCACTGATTTGTTTCTTGCTTGTAGTTTTAATCATTTTAATTGTATTAGTCATGAACAATAGGTTCCCAAAAGTATTATTATCTAACATTTATTAACATTCCTGAATTTAATATTACACTGTTTGCTATTGGGCAACACATCTTACACATATTTGTATCCAGTACGTTATAGACTTTACGCTGAAATTGCATAGTTAACACACTTCTTGGGAGGAATAAATTACTTTATAGTCACCAAAAATGGTCCCATGGTCATGTCTGACCCAATGGTCAGACATGGTGAAAAGGGAGCAGGGGTGGAATCCGTAAAAGGGATGATTATGTGATGATGTGCTGTACACTTCATTGTTGTGAAGTGTGATACCTTTGGATTAGTTGGTAATAAGCTATACAGTTCTCATCCCCATGTAAATTGCTTGTCAGGTTATGATCAAAGCATTTTAAATTAAACCCTTTCTTTTTCCCCCTGACATGGCTTTTCATTAGCCATAGAAGCAATGACGTTGTCTCCTGCATACCTTAGATAAACTCTTCCTCAACCCCATCCAGAAAACACAAAACTGAACACTGGAAGCCAAACATCTAAAAGACAGGGAACATTTTTCTTTCATAAGATTCCAATTTTATTTTGCCTTCCTCAGGCTGTAATTTGTATGAATTTAAAGTTAACGAATAAGATTAAGAATTCTTTGACATAATTAACTTCATGATAAGATAAACACAGAGTACAGGAAAAAACACTGTATCTTATACCATACATGAATGCAGATTTGTCTTTTCTATTATTTTAATTATTTGCTAAATTATGTATTAGTGCTGAGAAGAAAACTACTTGATAACTTCATTTGTGTATCTTACTTCACTACATGGTTCTATTAGAGCAGTGTTCAATTAAAGACATTCATTTTTTTAGCTTATGACAGGTTAAAAGAACAACACAGTTGTAATGGAGATATGACCAGTTTTATTTGTGTACTTTCCATTTGTTTTAAATTACAAAAAAGTTAATTGTATATAAATAAAGTTTAAAAAACAATTTGCAAGTAATTTGCAAAAGCTTAACATAACAAATGCATGCAAAGTTTTTTTTTTCTTTTCATGCTGTATTTGTGAATGACACATTGCTGAATAATGTGAATATAATTGTAAAAGGCAGTGAATGCTTGGGAAACTAAACTATAGAAGTATTCATATTGCCTCATTCAAATATGAATCTGTTCAAGTGTTCTATGTGCTTTTGCTGTAGAAAATACTAACAGTTTTTCTTCTAATTATGCAAAAAGTCAAATGTTTTGATAACAGCAATTCACAGCACACACTCTAACACTGTACATGGTGTTACTCATTCAAGGCCTTGTAGGCACTAGAAAGAGTAATGTTGAGTTCTCTTGTCATGGTGGACATCAAAATGAGACTTAGCTCCTATATCATAAACTAGCCTGTATTTTTGCCGTTGTACAGGAGGGAAGGAAAAATATCATCTGTCTCTAATAGTCTGAGTGTTAATATGTGTGAAAAAAGGATTTTATGAATGTGTTGATGCCCTGCAGGGGTAGAATAATTATCATCCATCCAGCTGGCACTTCACTCAATATCAAAATTCATATCTGCTACTTTTGCATTTGTTTGGTGTTGTAGTGTTTGTGCCAGCATATGTTTTACATTTTCAGCTTTTTATTTTTTTTAGCACTCACTTTTTTGTAAGTACAAATGACATCCTTTTTGGATAAATACATCGTCCAGAATATTTCAATATATTGACCAACTGTCGAATATTCAAATGCATAATCTACCAAATACATCAGGTTTTAGAAGTTATAATAAACTAGGATTAAATCATATGTAATATGCTTTTTGCATAGCTTTTAGCTAAATAAGTAAATATAGAAGGAACACGTTGAAGAAACGTTTCAGTTGCAATTAAATACATCTGAAAGGAGAACTGAATCCTTCACCGTTTTAAAGGGAATTAATGAAGCCGATTCCAATAGTTATTTCAAATTAAGTTTGAAATAGCAGAACACAAGGACATAGCTGGTAAATTGTTAAAATTTTGCTCCAATACGTGAAAGCACTTTTTTACACAGAGAGTGGTCAATGCATGGAATAGATTACCAGAGCACACTGAAAAGCCTGAAGTCCTATAACAGAGTCACTTAGTATATAAGCACTGATCGGCTCAATGGCCTGTTTTCACTTTTAATTTGAATATGATTTTATGCATTTATTTCAGTTTGGTTATTAGTTATAATAAATGGTAACAGACATCCATGGAATAGAAGACATACATATTCCCACATCCTGTCTGAATTCCTAATAAACATAGAAAATAGATAATTGATAAACATGTACACTTTAATAGCCATTTAACTATTTACTGTTTAAATAAACTAGAGAATGCATTGTTTTAAAAGAAGAGTAGTACTTATATTTGTAAAATTACATTACAAAAATAATTTTCCATCCTTTTGATTATGAATGATAAGAGCAGTATTCATGTATAAAAATCATAGCTGTTTGAACAAAACAATGCAATTTCCAGTTTTAGATGCAATGTAATCTTTAGCCTTAAACAGACATGCTAGCAACTCATAATTGACTTTCTTTCAAAGAGAAGTACTGAATGTTTCTTTAGCTTGCCTGGATCCCTGACCCAAATCTCATGAATATTCTTAAGGCCAATGTAAAAAAGACAGGAATGTAATAGATTGAATGAGTAGAGTTAAAGAAATTATTTTTCCTCTGTTCAATGCCACAGAAAAATGGCGAAAATGTCATATTTTCCAGTTCTGTTATTGCTCTTGATGCTCTTGGATTGCTAAATTGTATTAAAATAAAGTATGCTATCAGCCTCAATGGCTACCCGTGCTAATCAGGCTCTTTCAGGAAAAATGATCAAGGTTAGTTCTGTGCTTCTGTTGGGGGGGAGGGGTGTGTGATTGAAAACTGTATTTGGTGAAATAAGTATTTGTTTTATAAAGGCTTTGCAGTTTACACCGTTCAGCTGTAATTTTTTATGAACATCTTATGAACAATGGTTACAACACAATGTAAGGCCTTATACAGTTTCAAACACATTGAGGGAATATCTTCCACTGTTGATTTCCAAGAGGACCTTGGTTTCCATCTTAAATTCACATTTTGTAGTTTCTCAAAGCTCAAACATCTCAGAATCGGTTGAATGCTCATATTAAGTTAATTAATTAATCATATTTTCCACTAGGTGTTAGAAATAAAAACAAAATACTCTTCATTGCATTGCAGGTTTTTCATTAGAAACACTAAGAGAAATCAAACAATTGTTTAAATATTAATGTAAGGAAAGCTGTGAAAACTGTGTCAATGATTGTTTTGTGGGTTTTTGAATGCTGTCTATCTGCCATTTATTTCAAACACTGTGTGCAGCAGCTACTGGGTTGGGAAGAAATGAGTACCTGAAATAATAGGTCACTGGGAGACAACCTCTGTCCCCTACATTTTATTTGGCTGTCAGGCACTGTAATGAATTCGATCCCAGCTTATCTCACATATGGAATTCATTTAATAATAATTGCTTACACTTACAGTATATACCTGGATAATGCGACAGCAGCCATAGTGCACCAGAATGCTCACCACACATCAGCTACCAGTGGGGAGGAGAGCAGAGTGATGAAGCCAATTCAGAGATGGGGATTATCAGGAGGCCATGATTGGTAAAGACTAATGGGAAATTAATGGGAAAAACTTTGGCCAGGATGTTGGGTTACACCACTACTCTTTTCGAGAAACACCCTGGGATTTTTAATGACCACAGAGAGCCAGAACCTCGGTTTTACGTCTCATCCAAAGGACGGACATTTAGATTGAAATATTCTGCAGATACTGATTCTTACTTAATTCTGCCTCACACTCAGTGCTAATTAATTATTAAATTCTTTGTTGATAAACTGCAAACAAAAGTTTATTTTCTCTCTGTTTTAAGGCTAGTTTAGAATTAATATTCTTTATTTTTCAGTGTGAAATATATGATATTCACTTTCTAGGTTTATGTTTTCACTTGTCTTTGCTGTACACTAAATTGTTTTTTTTATTATGGATTTTATTTTATATTTTCAACAGTTTCAATTTTTTACAACAAGAAAAAAGTTCTTTAAATTACTAGATAACTGTATTCATTAGAGTTAATAATATACCAAATCGATGTGTCTGAAGATTAAGTTCTCAATCATTTCAGCAGCAAAGTCAGGCCATGCCTGTTATTTGTTATTTTATTTGCAAAAAATGTTTGTTCATTACCGTAAGTGCTACATTCTAAATCTTAAAAACATGTATTAAGTCATACAGGCTCATCTACAGTATGACTGTTATGATGACAGATGGTAAAATTGTACTGTTCTAGAATTGGTTTTGGCTTTATGATTTAGAATTCTTTTTCATTTACTGCATTGTTAATAACTTTAATAAATGCCAGTTTTTTTAAAAAAAAGAAGGAAATTAAGTGATTCAGCTGAAACCACTGAAAAAATAGATCATTGACAAGAGCTTTGGTTTGTGTGGGATTCAGAAGTGGGAAACGTGTTTGCCATTCCATTCTCGGCACAGACAATAATCATGACCGCACCAGTGCACAAGTGTTAGAGGGTACTGTTTGCTATTAACTTAAAGTGCTGAACAGGTCTCTTGAACAACTGTTCACTAAGTTCCACTGGAAGGGATGACATTACAAAGGATAATAATGACAACGCAAGAGTTAATTACCACCATTATGCTTCAGTCACTTTAACTAATGCAAATTGTATTCAACCAGGAAGATTTCTTAATTAAATACTACTGCAGTATCCATTCTCTGTTTCGTTCAAAGATTCTGTGTCATTAATTTACATTAGCTGCCCTCCAAATGTTTTTAGACAAAATTGTTATTACTGTTTTACAGTCAAGCAATTTGTATTTGTGATCATGAGATGAGACTGAATAAGTACAACATATTATTTATTTTTCTGGATATATGTTTTATTTATGTGTAATGCCATACATTTGATCATATTTAAACAAAAGACACTTTATGTTCAAATAATTTATTTTAAGTGAATCTAAAAACTGTGATACATCCACTAAAACAGTTTTTAGAATATAAATGTTGGTATTTTGTAACTGGCGTAAATGAAAGTAATACGTAATAAGGCTACAGTATTTTGTATAAGCTTTTGAAGCAATAAGTTCATGAAGTCTGCAGCCCACTGAGCTCACCTCTATCAATTCTTGCATATTCTTGGTGTTCTGAATTATTATTTTCTTCAGTATTATAAATGCTGTTCAGTTGGATTTATGTCTTGGTCTCCACTTGTTTATCCTAATGAAGTCCCTGGTTATATTGACCATGTATTTTGGGTCATTGCTATGTTGGATGGAAGTGAAGTTGAAGTGAAGTGTCACCCTCTAAGTATAAAAGCGTCTTTCTCTACATGTGTAGACAAAACATTTTTTTTCCTGTAAATTTCATAATTAATTCTGCTGTTACCTTCACTATTTACATCATCGATAAAGATATGAGAGCCCAGAATATTCCATGCTTTACAAATGACGTGATAATCTTTGGACTATCTGCAGATCTTTCCTTTCTCTACCTAAATTTTCCATCAGGGTAAAGTTTTATCTTGGTCTCATCTTCCTGTAAAACGTTGTTCCAAAACTTTTCTACCTCAGCTTTTTACTGAATTCTGAATTACTGAATTGAATTCTGACACTCACTTGCCAATGCAACTTCCGATAACAAATACAAATTTGTATACAAATACAGCTTTGTCTATGCAGTATTAATGCATTTGGTTGGTACTACGAGAGAGAATTTAATTTCCTTTTGCCTTTTAAATGTAAAAGGCAGATATTCCTTCTATTTTATTTAGTTGTTTGCAATTATGCATTTATCTAAGGTTCTTATCCAGTGCTTTCTTGCAGTATCCATGGGAATCTACTTCAACACCATTTCACAATACAGTGCACATTTCTATTCATTTGTTTTCCACTACATACTAGCAGGAGGACTTACTGTATAACACAAAAACATGAACCATATTTTATATCAAGACTTTTATTAAAGGAGAAAGAAACATTTGCCTTTATATTTATATATTGAAAATAAGAAAGAGGGCAGTCCTCCTGAGGTTTACTGGACTTTAAAACCCAGTACAGTAAATACTTCTTTTGATCCATGTGAACATATGTGAAAAATCATAAACAGCTAGATGTCCTCAGACCCACTTTAGTTTAGATGTTTACAGTATGCTGTGGCCTTTACTTTATGCCGATGTTTGATTATTATTATTATTATTATTATTATTATTATTATTAGTTGGGTGCAATGATTAGTATTGCTGCCTTGCAATGTTGAAGCCCTGCTGCTATCTGTGTGGAGTGTGTGTGGGTTTCCTCCCACAGTCCAAAGACATACTGGTAGGTTAATTAGCCTCTAGGAAAACTGTCCCCAGTGTGAGTGTCTGTGTCTGTGACTGTGTGTGCCCTGTGATTGGCTGGACTCATCCAGGATGTATCCCACCTTGTACCAGTTGCTTGCGGGGATAGTTTCCGGTTCCTCTGTAAGCTTCTATTGTATAAAGCACTTATAAAATAGATAAATGAAACAAAGTGTCATATTTTTCTGCCAGGGGAGAAAGACATGGTTGGCCATGACTCTCAGTCTTCTACTGGTTTCAACTTCAATCTCTAGTCATTGCAGCTGGCCAGAGATAGCAAGGCTTGTAGAATCACCTAATTAACAATGCAGGCTTAAACAGGCACCTCAGCTGGCAGTGTAGTTAGCCGCCTGTTGGTTCTCAGCGGGACTTGGTGGTGCTTCTCATTCTCTGCCCTAATGGTCTTCTGCCCATCTAATTTTGCCCTATTGAAAGCCACTGTTTACCACAGCTTGAGCCCATCCCAGGGGGCTGAGTTATTATCAAAGGATTACAAAGATGTAGTCTTATTGCTCAGACATTTCAGTTTCCTTGACTATGCCAGAGTGCTAATTAGCTGTGACTAATTAAGAAAAAATGTTCTGGCCGCACTGCATCATTTTACCAAGTGCTAGAGAGTGAAAAAGAGAATTCAAAAGCTTACCACTGGTCAATCTGAGCAGCTTCTTTTAGTCTTTTAAAGCCTAGCGTTCACCTTTCTCTTCTGAGATATTGCTATTGTAATTAGTTCTGTTGATCTTTTACTTGTGCTTTTCCTTTCTTTACTTGAGGTAATCACATGTGGATAGGCATACTGTTTATGATGAATGTTCAAATATTCACACAGCCTTTAACAAAGAAAGAAGGGTGCTATAATTACTCTTTTGAATTAGCATTTTTATGTGCATTATTATTACTTAACAAAATACATAAGATTTGTAGGTATGATATGCCATTCTTTGGTTATGAAAAAAATAATATGGAGCAATGAATTAGACTGGAATATACTGTGTATACTGTATGTCTTCAATTCCTACAATAAACTAATTTACATTGTATTGTACTGTAGCTGTCCAGTAGAAAGGATTAGTGCCAGATTTTCTTTAATTTTAAATAATGAAAAATACATACTGTATAAAGTGATATAATATATTAAGATTAGGATTTTGGGGGTGTTTCATGTAATATTATATATACTATAACAATATATTATTTGTGGTATATTGACCAATACATCACTAAGAAGAGAAGAAATACAACTTGTATTATTCTTAGTTACTATCATTATAATGTCTTAAGTTAAAACAACTAATCACTTTCAGTGGGAGAATAAAGGTAGCAGCACATTCTACAACTCAAGACATGCTTCTTCACTATTTTCAGTTAATGTCTTTTACATATAACATTAACCTTTGTTATTTTTATTTTAAAAAATTAAATTTAAATGAAAAATCCTCATACAGTACTCTAGTTACTTATTTCTATTTTTATGGTTTCCCTTGAGAATTTCTTTAATAGCTGCTGTTTAACTTGTCAGAAGAAAGCACACTGTGCTGTGAAATCTCTTTTGAAAGACGTCTTCTGAGAAACAACTTTAATCCTTGTTAGAAAATTGCAGTCTGGATCTTGTAAAAAAAAACGAAAGTTCTGTCCTTTTGTTGGTTCTCCAAAGCTCTTATAGGAGCCCTTTACAACAGCAGCGACAGCATAGCAAAGCTTCACTATTTAGGTGAGTAGAGCTTTGACAGTCTAGGCAGACAATGAAGAAGCCTTTATGTAGATCCTGTAGCAATGCTGAACATAGCTGGGGATCAATGCCAGCCATTCAGGCCTGCCCCTTTTTTTCTTCTTCATTGCTTCAAATTGTTAATTCAAGACTAAAGGTAATCTGGGGAGGTGGAGAGTGTTTTAAAAAGCTGATGTACTGAGAGTGCTTATAGCCCCGTTGTGGCAATTTCCATAGTCAGTGGCTACTGTTAGCGCATAGGGTTTTTGTTTCATTGTTGACCTGTTTACTATTAAAAAATGCACGAACGCCCAGAGACTCACTACTCCAGCACTCTTTTATAACAGCTACCACCTTCTGAGTCCTTGAGCTTGTCTGTAGCTTCGGAGTTCCTTTTAGATTGGGTTTGAAAACTTCACCACAAACACTAGATTAGACTGATGTTCTGTTTTCCGTGCTCCTGTTGATTTGTTGAACCTTCCCCAGGCTGGATAGCAAGTACCAGCTTGATGGAAAGACAGACCACTAATGTGATTTACCAGCCTGCAGTCATGCACAATAAGTGTGAATAAATATAGAGGTCTCACAGTGTCAAACATAGCAGTTTCCTTCCCTTTTTATATAGTGAGGGAGATGTCAAGAAAATGAAGTGGGTAATGCATGCCCTTGCAAGTGCTGGATAATCCATGAATAGGAATATAATACTGATTTAGATTTTTATTAGGTCTGCTGGCAGAGGTAGCACAAATCTATATATGGTCCACAGGTGTGAAAACTCCTCTTGACTGTTAAGTTAATAACAGCAATTGGGACACTTAAGAGCATTATTATGACAGCATAAAGATGCTTGCATTTAAATATGTTCAAATTCTGAAGCAACATTAGAATAGCTAAAAGTCCTTTTTATTGTTCTATAGAACCAGTGTCTGCTTATTCTGTGCTACTGTTCACATTACAATGACTGATTTCCATAATAGAGTTTTAAAACTAGAATCCTTTTCTGAGTATTTATTAATTTTGTATTCAAGTAATTTCTTCAGGCTGTCCAGTTGAATATTTAAAAAAAGTGATTTTGTTTTAAATAAAAGAATTCTGCTGGTTGAAAATTTGAGAAAATAATTCAAAACCAAGCTTTCTTTTTGAGGTGAAAAAATACTGTGATCTAAAAATAGAGTTCCATTTCACTATGAATACCACAAGGTAAAATTGTTTATTAAAGACAAGGGATAGACTGACATGGTGGGATCTGTAAGGTTTTAAATGATTGTTTTTGTTTACAGTAGTGTAAAGCCACTTTTCACATTTTGAGAAAAAACACAAATTATTTGATAAACTGAGCTCCATGTAAACAGATTGTAGGGTTTGTCCTATGCTGTAGAATTTGTTCTCAGATGTGGTTTTTTGTGTGTGTTTGCAGCAATGGTACACAAGCTCTATGAAAGCCATTTGTGTTTGGCTGACAGACAGGCTTGATCTACAGCTCCACATGTATCAGCTGAAAACCCTTATCAAGATTGTGAAGGTAAGAGATGCTGCAATTCATAAAGTATTTTAGCAGCAAGAAAAATGTTAAGTCTATTTTTAACTATAGCTTTGCAGAGCAAAACATATATTCTCCATCATTATATTGTACAATTGTATCCCTTTTTCAGATCACAGGTACTACAACATCTACTGTGTTGATTATGTATATCTTTGTCACAAAAGCAATGGCAGTAATTGTACCTCTTGCTACTGTCAAAGAGGCAATAAAAGGAAAAGAGCCCTAGGGATATATGTATTCTTCTAGGACAAGGCAGCCAGGGAAAACCAGCTAACCAGATACAGGGAAACATACAGTAAGCTACATAAACAGACTAACAGAGGAAAAATAAAAATAAAAGTCAGACAGTGCTGGATTTGTTTCATTTGAAAATCACATTGTAGGAGTCAGATTCAATCCAAATTATTCTCAACGAACTTTTGAAACCTTTATTTGGATAAAAACTACTAGTAGTATTTAGAAGATATCAAGATAAATAAAACACTACTAAAAAAAAGGAGTGTTTTGTTTTCCAATTAATTAATTGCTTTTCAAAATTAATCAAAATACTGTGTCCTATTTCATTTGGCGAGTTTCAAAGCGTTAGAACAAAGTTTACTCCAGTGTTCTGAATGTTATCTTAATCAAGATTAAGCTTTTGTTCTTTCTCATGGTAAATTTGGCACAACATAATCAAAGAGATCAGAAGTCATCTTTTGGTATTTGATCATCACAGTCTTTTCTCTTGCTTATAAGATCAATAACTTTATGATGTTGGTCATTATGTTATACTATAAATATTGATCTCTCCATAATCCAGCTATTGGTGTATTTCTTATAGAAGCTACTCAATGAATTACACTAGGGCAAGGTTAATTCCTGATGCTACATTTATAGTACACCTTTTTTTCTTATTTATGCAGAAAACATACCGTGATTTCAGACTGCAAGGAGTGTTAGAAGGAATACTGAACAATAAAAACTATGAAACCATCTACAATCGTCTTACTGTGGAGGAAGCCACTGCCTCTGTAACTGAGAGTGGTGGCCTGCAGGGGATCTCAATGAGAGACAGTGATGAAGAAGAAGGTTAATTTCCAAATCAGGATACTGAACAGTCTGAGATCAAATGAAGAAACCTTAATTCATTGTTGCACAACCAGAAAAATACATCTGTACCTGTGCCATAAAGTCAAATTTTCAGATAGTATTATACTACAATGTGCACTGCCGCTATTTTGATGACGTTAAGAAAATCATTTTTCCATATTACAGTTCAAAAGATGCCAAGGACATTTATGAAAAAGTGAATATAGTTATACAGTATATATAAAATATATAACAAAGTTGTGTAAATGTTTTAATTTTTATCTTAATTCATGCTGGTTTTGATTGATGTTGGGGTTTGCATAATCATAAAATCATTTTTTTTATTTAAATGAAAATGACAACTTAAGTTTACAGCTGTTGTGTGATTGTGATTAAGTTGACTAGATGTGATGAATATCATGTGTGTTCAGTTTTCCAGTTGAGGACCTGTCACCGTACACACTTCCTCAATCAATGTGTTTGTGTCAAGATCTGATCTTAAGACATGGTCCTTCATGCTGACTTTATTATTCATGTTGATGTTGTCTCTCGGGGCCAAAGGACCAAAGTGCTGTATTTATCCTTGTCAAGATATTAGTCATTTGTTGTATGTATGTTTGTGCTTCTAATTGGTGGTAAAATTGACATGACAGAGACAAACAACCATACTAATTGAGGTATTCATGATTTATTAAATGTCTAGTGGCCAAGATTTTGTGCATTACATTTGAAATATTAATGATGTATAATAACGTTCATGTAAGTTTACACCAAACAACTGAAAAACACATTACAACTGTACATTTATATGGTCATACATACTGTATACCTGATTCAGGTGCTTAATATGTATCACAATAAAGTGTTCTAATGATTTATGTGTGCGCATGATTATTACAGATTTTTTTTATCCAAGTCATATTTGTAAATAAAACCATAAATCTATTTTATATAAAGTTTGTAAAACATACTTTATATTTAAACTATTTTTGTATTCTGCAAATAGGAAAATCTAATTGTCCTGTATTACAATACTATTAAACACAACAGTTTTTGACTCTGACTTCACATAAATTAATTATAATTAAATATGCTATGACAAATAAATGTTCATTGATCATCAGTAAATAAATGCCATTCATATCTGATTTCTTGTTATTTGCTTGGGAGTCTGTCCTCAACCTGTAAATTGCACATGAATGTAGACTCCACTTACAACAATTCCAGGTGGCACAGTAGTTCAGTGGTAAGCACTGTTGCCTCACAGTTCAATTCCAGACCTGGGGTGCTATCTGTGTTGAGTTTGGGTGGGTTTCTTCCAAAGACATACCGGTAGGTTAATTGGTTTCTGGGAAAACTGGCCTTAGTGTGAGAGTGTGTGACTATGTCTGTCCTGTGATGGACTAGTGTCCCGTCTAGGATGTGTCTTTCCTTCTGCCTGTTGCTTGCTGGGATAGCCAGCTCCCCTACCCTGCATTGGGTAAAGTGGTTACAAGATGAATGGAACTATTCATGACGACAGTTTATCGTTGTATATTTACATTAGAAAACAGATTCTGAAGCAAACAAATGAAGAGCATATATTCCATATTTCAGATGTCCAAACACTGATGCATATGATGATTATTTGAGTGGCGTGTGTAATCAGAACATAAGAAAGGTCACCAACAAGAGGTGGCCATTTGCCCTATTTATCCCTTTTTGATGAGAAGAAGAGATTTTTATTTAAATCATTTTAAAGCAAAGTGAAGATGTATGTAAAATGCTAAAAATATTTTATTTTTTAATAAGCTGTGTGGTATCTTTGGCAGGGAATATAACTCATCCTCAGTGTAGATGAATGAGAAGTGTATTCTCCAAATATTTCTCATCCCACTGGTGGAGGTGCTGTGCGTGACTTGGTCCGCTCATTGAACTCATCTTCCACGGTCTGCTCTCTAATAGAGAAAAAAAATAAATGTGTGTGCATCTCATGAAATCAGGTTTCTTTTAATTCTCTTTTAAGAACTTAAATTGGTTTAATTAAGCAGTGAATCAGTTCAATTAGGGAATTGACAGTATCTGAAACATGCAAAAGACTTTCTGGTGCTTCTTGAGAGGCACAGATAATATATATATATAATCACTCCTTATGTATTTAATGCCTTGGTAATTAATAGAAACATTACTCTTTACCTAGAAATTGGCATGCTAGCACTTTATTAAATATTGTGTATCTTGGCAGTCCCAATTCAAGATTTTTATTTTTTTTAAAAGAAAATGTTCCAAAAACTCATCCTGCTATGATAAATGACTTGGCACTTGGGTTTCAATTCTGCTGTTTCCATATTTTCAAATGTAAGTAAAATCTTTTCAGAGAGATCAACATACTGAATAAACAAGCCCCCTAAATGGAATTTTCAACATTCATGCATCTCAGCGTGTTTGCCTTCCCAGAAAAAGGAGAAGAAGGTGCATTTAGAGTGAAACAATTGGTTTCTTTTTAAAATCTTTTTCTTATTTTTAAACAAAAGACAAGTCAAGGGTCTGAGCAAGGAAAAATGAGCAACAGAATCCCCACCCCCAGTCCTTCTGTACATCATCTGCTGTCCGAGCACTGCTGGCAGGGCAGTGTGTATCCACACTGTGAAAGCATCAACATGCTCCTCAACCAACTGGTTTGCTGTGTAATTTATTTTCTAGATTTACTAAATTTCAGTTAACCCATCAGTATCATTAAAATGTAAAAACTTCTGCCACTACAGTCTTTGTAACATAGTACTTCATGTTTCTTTTATACAAATGTTTAGCTGCTCTAATGGAATGGCATACGCACAAGTTCTGTTTTTCTGTTTGCTTATAAATGTCCACTAAGAAGGAAGAGAAGAATATACTGTACCATGTTTTACCTTTAATAATGTCCTAAAGCATATGAACTTTAAACACCAGGTAAAGCTTTAAAAAGCTTAATTTCATTATTAGTTTGTATTAAAATATTCCTTAATAATTAATTGGTCACTGCATTTCTTTTCAATACATTCTGAAATTGAAGTTTTTATTTTTGATTAAGTTAATGCATTTCTGTTCCATACATTCTGAAATGAAAGTGTTTATTTTTTATAAAGGGTTTATAAAAAGAGTATAACATCATTTTACAATTCACTGTATTGACAAATTAAGAAAATAATATTATTTTTCCACAATCATCCAATAATAATCAATTGTTAAAATAAAGACATTAGTATCCAAAATGTAAAGTGTCATCCTGGCCTTAAAATGCAACGTTACAATAATTTGTGCCAACAATTCACTCCTACACCTGGATCCAGGTTATTTTAACTTCCTTTTCAAGGTTGTCTTTTCCAATATTAAATTTAGTTCTGTTTTATTTTGTGTTGCAAATGTAAAAATAAATGTTTAAAATATTCAGCACTGATATAAAATCCAAATTTCAACTAAAAGCAGATATTTTACATAAAGCAAGCCTACTGTATAAAACCTTAGTGCTGGTGAAAGTCAGTGCTTACTATGAAAAACAGAAAATGTAATTATCTTTCAGCATAGAGTTATGTTCTTTTTAACTACATACAGTAGTTTGATAAATGTAATATATACAACGTTTGTAAATTGAAAACTTGTTGTTCGTTTTAAATATAATAGAAGGCAATTAACAGTTATATATTCCCGTTGTGTTGTCAACAAATAACAGATGAACAACGAATTGGATATAAAAATACTGATTTTATTATTGTGGTTACAATAACTTACTGCTATTGTTTGTTAGCTACTACTTTATGACTGTCTCACATTGATGTTCCTTCATGCTTGAATAAGGTGTGCGTGAATGAACTCGGTAAGAGTCCTTTACTTTGGATATCTCGCAAGACTCGCCATCTTTGCTTCGATTGCAGATAATCACATCCATATAAATTAGGGATAACAGCTACATAAGACTCAATGCATGAGGCGTTTAAGCCAAATTGTTTTCTAAATGAACAAATTACGTCCATGAAATCAGGAGGAAACACTTGACTGTTCTCACAACGTTCTTAAAAAACGCAATTTGCAATTTACAGGGCAGCACACATGATTGCTGTAGCTGATACTTCAAAGCAGAAGACAAAAAGAAAAGGATTGTAATAGCCCGCTGACAGAAAACGATTGCTACAGGAAATCCAATATTTAACCTCAGAAGTGGATGATAAAAGTTGATTATGGAGTTTTAAAATTTCTGGTATATAAACCTTGTAATAGCATAAATCATGTTTAAGTACTTTTTAAATTATTTGCTTTCACCAGCTGCTCTCATAAATGCTTATCGCGGTTCTTTAAAGTTTATATGAATGTGAATTTCTGTAGAAAAACAGTAAAAACCTGCTAATACAACTGCCAGTCTCATATTCAAGGCAAGCCTCTTAGTCTTTTGCCGTGAAACTAATCGGCAGGTCCCTAGAGTAAAATTATAGCTCATTGTAGACTTTTTCTCTTACAGCGAAAGCACGAGTAGTGTTGATGATAATATCATGGTAGGAAATGTTGTGAACTTGAGGTTGATCTCCTTGGTTGCCGTCGTCATTTATTTATTTATTATTGTTGTTGTTGTTGTTGTTGTTTGTTGTTGTTGTGTAAAGCCTTCCGTTTTAAAGCCCTCAAGCGATTTACAAAAATCAAAAGTGTCTTAATCGTAATGGCAAATAAAAATGTAGCAGATTTCATAAAGCTAAAATTTCAATCTTCTGTTCATTGAGAAATTAGCACTGGAAAAGACTTGCTTTTCAAAGAAGCGTTTAATTTTCATAAAGAAGGACAAAGAATAAGTTGATTTAAAGCTATTGTCGCATCAATGTGTGAAACGAATTTAAGAAAAAAAATGCAAGCTTATTTTTGAATTCCTAAATGTGATTTAACTACCTTTACAGTTAATGTGATTTTAATGCTGATGATGACACAGCATGGAAAAGTAATTAAATCGAATTGTATAGCTAATAATCAAATTTTTGCGAAGACAGTTTAAAGCATTATCTATCTTGTTTTATCAATTGTTATAATAAAAATTGTGAAGCTGATTTAAAACAGTTTGGAAGTAAAATTATTTATAATCAAAATAATATAATTGATGAAAAAATAAGAATAATAATTCAGTGAGAATGTTCGTAGCCGATTAAGTTGAAAGTAGTTCGATTATAACGTAAAATAGCAATAACATTCTCCTATTTTTGGTAATTTTTACCATTTCATATGAAAACGACTTATTAAAGCCTTATTGTTATTTATGAGCAAAACGAAAGTCTTAAATAAAACTAGGCCTGTATGTACAGTATGTGTGACTAGACAAGCTTTAGCCTGGTTTAAAAAGTATTCTTTTTCCATTAGAACCCACAATGTTATATTAAAAAATAATAACATTTTGGATTAGGCGGACGTTTATCTTTGTAATCGCCTTTGAGTGGAGTGGAATTATATTTGGTTAGCAGAAGATATTGAAGACGGCTTGAGATCTGAGTGTGCAACTTCTAAAAGCAAAACAAGTGAGCAATATCGGAACTATGACCCAGAATCAAGAAAATGATAAAACCCGATTAGAAAGAAAAGGAGAACAGGCAAGGATTACCCTGCAGGGAATGACACACAATTATTCGTACTTAAAGCATTTTGCTAATTACACGGGATTAAAATGTGAAACAAGTATCTACATTTTACTTATGATAAACCGCAATGGCTTGTATTAATTGTTTTATACTTTTTAGAGGGAGAAAATGCTAAAAAAAACTGTTATGCAAAAAGATTCAGACCTGTAGAGTTTTGATGACAAATATAAAGATGTATGGGATATGTACAGTATCATAAAGCAGGTGTTTGCATGATATCTGCATGTAGCTTGAGTACAATATGGCTACTCTCAAGGTTTTTATAACCTTTTCTCTTGTCAGACCTAATGTCGTGTTTGTTAAGGCGAAACATAAAGAATAAGATTATCAAGACTATTTCTTTCCGAAAAGACTTATGAATAGACTACCACCTGTAGTTACGTGTCCCGAGTAGGTCAATTGATGAACTCCAGAGTTGCGGTCTATAGAAAATGCTTCAATTACTAATAAGAAACCATCTGTTACTCTCCCCACATTTAAGGATTTCGGGAAAAAATAAATGAAGGATAAGGCAATGTTCATATTTTAAAAATGTTTTTTTTTCCACTATCGATTTGAAAATGTCTTCATTTCCCAGAATTTTAATTGATAATCACGTTTTTATTAAGCATTCCTTCTCTTTGATGTTCTCACTATTGGATTTTGAAATTGCATTTAAAATTAGTCTTCAGTAATTATTCTCACTTCCAAATAGTCATTACACAAATAGTACAGCATTCCTATTTAAACATAGTTTCATTAACATGTCAGTGTTATTATTAAAGCAAATCCCTTTGATTTTAATCAAATCAATTAAGATTGCTGTCCCTAACTGTGCCTAGAGTAATCCACGGCGTATTGTCCTTGACTGAAGGGTTATAAAACCGCCTGAAACCAGAAGGCAGTGGTACAAGTTCGACTTTAGTTTACAAAATTCTATGGAATTTGCATTTCCTGCATTGACACCAAAATGTATGTTCGACATCTCATAGTGTAATAAATATTCTTCTGAATATTCTTTTGAATCAGTATAGACTTGGGTGTCAGTCACCACCACGATAACACCCCCCCACCACAACCACACACACACATACACACACAAATTCTCACATTAACAAACTAATAATTGCTCTGATTATTAAGATAAACCAAGTATTAAAATTACACTACAGTATGTAAACCGTTCACACTAACACTTGGCAGAGACAGCGTAGTTCAAACTACCTTTACCTTTACAAGCGATCCGTGTTGAGTTTGCTGTTACAATAGTTTAGACTCATCTTTATATTGCTCCGTTTATTGCGTTTCCCTGTCAAGAATATTGTCCATTACAGAGTGCTGTTTCTGAGATAAATATCCCACCTCCTAACGTTTAAGGTAATCCCTCAGTGTGCCTGCTAACTCATGCATTTCTCCGCCGGGTTTCACCCAGTGAACCTTAATGTTTTCGCTCCCTATAGGTTTAAAGCTGCTTATAAAATCGTTTGATATCATTGACCGATCGTGCAAACATCCCTTTCTCTTAGACAATCACTGTTTACATCAAAATCGAAATGGTTTTCAAAGGTAATATAATAAATACTAAAGTGGTAGTTGTATTATCATATTCAAAGTTGCTTCCTCAAAGTTTATTTCCTAAACTTTTGTAAGCACAATTAATGAAATGCTACAATTGCTTTTTATAGATCAGTTTGATCCCTGTGGTTTAAAAGGTATCCAGTGACATATCCTGTGCGCTCAAACGGCATTATCATCGTTATTAATCACAATACATCATCGTGAGCATTGTTAGCATCAACAAATAGCCAGATAAAGTATGTGCTTTATTTGATTTCGTAAAAAAATGAGTTTTGCAAATATATATTAGACTTTTTTTTCTCAATAAAGCAAATGCACATTTGGAGCGGTAGTCCACTAAATTCATATCATATCGATTTTTAAATATAAGTAAAGAAATATAGGTTTCTTAGTCTATTGATTATAAAGATAATCTCTACTGGGAAAATGGAAACAAAACGGAACAAACGTGGTCATGTTGATACCTTTTTCGCAAATAGACAAATGTTTTTCCCTTTAGCATTTTAATCATTTCCAAATATAATTTTGTAAGAAGTTACTTTTTAGTTGTGAGGCTCTATATTAAGTTGACAAATGTATTCCTTTTTATTATGAATGTATACAGATAATAAAACAGGCATCAACAGGAGGAAGACAAATCTTCTGTCAAATTTAAATAATACTCTTTTCAAAGATTGTTATGCCCAAACGAGTTATACTTGTTAGTTGTTGCCTCCTTTAAGGCCAATAAAAGATCTGAAAACGTATAACATTCATATCTTATATTATATGTTTTAATTGGTTATGTGCCGTATATATCTATAAATGTAAATCTGGATTTGTCAAATGTTAACTGACACGAAACCTATACGGACACAACTAAGCGTATGTCACCTTGTTCTGTGATTTAAAGTGATGTCACGTAAAGCCAAGGCGACCTCAGATTTGCTAAACGCTTTTCTGTGAACAAGACGCTTACAAATAAAGAGCACCTCCTTCCCTGGGCGGGTGAGTTATAGTCACCAATAATAGCAGTAGACAAGTGAGAAAAAAAAAGTTTCTCTGTTGACTGATGTAAGTGAATTGAGCAATTGTCTAGTTTACCTTCTCCTCTTGGAAGGTAACGATTGGCGAGATCTTTGCTGCGTTATTGACACAACACGTTTTATTGAGCAGTCTTGGTAGAAATAAGTGCTGATTGTCCAGAGTCATCGTAAAGCAAAGTGAACTGTGAGGCGCTGGCAGTAACCCAGGCTGCCTCAGATGATGTTCTTTCTTGCAGGTCAGTGAAAAGAAGAAAAAAAAGGCATCTACAAAGGGAACATTCACACCAGATTGAAGGTGGTTTAAGACATGGACAGTGCGCTCTTCCACACATCGGCAATACTTGGTTCACCTTCAGTGGCAGAAAATTTATCCGCTGGAGAAAACATGATCGCTACAGCCAAGCCTCTTGCTTTCTCGATCGAAAGGATAATGGCCAGGACACCAGAACCAAAGTCAGTACCTCTTCCAAACTTGTTTCAAACGCCTATGAACAAGGCAGACCCAAAGCAAGTTCTGCACTCCTCCACGCTCCCATGCATGATACCGTTTGTGCCACTAGCGTACGAATCTGGTCAAAAACTGAGCGTCACTGGATCAGAACCAAGAAAGAACCATTTAGACTCGTCTTCCTATATCCCTAATGATTTATTAAGTATTGGTTTAAATTACAAAGGTGAGCTATCAGATGGAAGTTCGTCAATAGGACAATATAAACTTTTTCGACCACGAGTGGTAAACCAGTCTTCTTTTCATGCTATGGGAACATTGTGCTATCTAAACTGCGGAGAAAACCCCTGTCCCCCACCTGCGAGTATTCTTAACATTCATCCAATGGCTTCGTATCTTCTTAACTCTCCACTTAACCCACGCCAGAAAGCTTTTCTTTCGGAGAAAAACAAACTCGTTCCTGCTGTGGAAAGGTACCAGTCTGGGGTTGCCTTTAAAGACTTATCACAGACCCAGCTGCAGCACTATATGAAGGAAAGCGCACAGATTCTCTCTGAAAAACTATTTAAAAACTCTTCAAAACTTACAACCGGATCCCCAAGCAACAAGCCGAAGGTTTTTACCTGTGAAGTTTGTGGGAAGGTAAGTTCTAACTACTAAGTTTTCAATATTTACAGTATTTGTCACCACTAAGGATATTTCAGAAAGAATACAGTGTATTTTCCCCAATTACAGGTGTTTAATGCACATTACAATTTAACCCGTCATATGCCAGTGCATACCGGCGCAAGACCTTTCGTCTGCAAAGTGTGTGGCAAAGGGTTTCGGCAGGCAAGCACGCTTTGTCGGCACAAGATCATCCATACACAGGTAATAAATATTTTCTAAATTATTATTACAGAATTTAAAATAGTTGTTCTCATTTCTTATTTAGAGTACACATGAGAATGCACCTGAATACAGTATATAAAATGCGAAGTGGAGAGAGTCTACTTATCAGTCTTACAGCTTGTCTTAGATTGTGAAATTGAAACATTTTGTGTTGTGCGATCTCTCTACTTTTGAATCGGGACAATGGGTTGCGCTTCGATGGAAACAAGTGTACGGTTTCTCCTTTAAACTTATTTTATTTATAAATTAAGCATGTTGACACCATCAGTTTTGATTGCAGATCTTATCTGTGGCATTCGGTGTAAAATAATTTTTACTTTCGTTTGCATTGTCATTTTTATCGCGTTTTAATATCCGGAGAAGGAATAACGTAGCGTGGTGAACCTTTGCACCTCATGGGCTTACTGTACTATACCTGCCTTATTTCTTTCTACAGGAAAAACCCCACAAGTGCAACCAGTGTGGGAAGGCGTTCAACCGAAGTTCCACTCTGAACACGCACACAAGAATTCACGCCGGTTACAAACCATTTGTGTGTGAATTCTGCGGCAAAGGATTCCACCAAAAAGGTGAGAGAACCTAGCGTTTAACAATAAAGAAACACAGAGTGGTCGTTATGGTGTTTCTTGAACTCCTCAAATCAGCAGTTCGCTGAGGCTGTGGTACGCTTGTGATAGCTATTTCTTAACTGGTTAGTTTGAATATATTTTGTTCATTATAACTGAAGAGCTAAAAACAAAGGACTATGTTATTCCAATAATTGCGTCGACACAAACTGTATTACTATTGTTGTTATCCCTATAGGATCACAATGTTTAAATTTTGGAGGCTAAACGACTCTTTTGCTAATGCTAAACTAGTAACTTACTGATCCACAGTTCTCACCCAGTTATTTCATTATTATTATTATTATTATTATTATTATTATTATTATTATTATTATTATTGTTGTTGTTGTAGTGTATTAAGTCTAATAGCTGCATTTTTTGGCAGAAATTTAAGTTATATTTGAGTTGTTTTTTTTCCCTTAACACTTATTTTGTTGATGAATGACTGAAGGTGCATCTTTCTCCAAACATCTTGTAAATATGTTACACATAATAATATTTTCTTTGTTTTTCTTAATTTCAGGAAACTACAAAAATCACAAGCTGACGCACAGTGGGGAAAAACAATTCAAGTGCAATATCTGTAATAAGGCCTTCCACCAAGTTTACAATCTGACTTTTCATATGCACACCCATAACGACAAGAAACCTTTTACGTGCCCCACCTGTGGAAAAGGATTTTGTAGGAACTTTGACTTAAAAAAACACATCAGGAAACTACACGACATTTCCCCGGGATCTCAGACAACATCGGGTAATAAGGGAGATCCTCATCCAAATCAGTAAAATGGCTGGGTTAAGTTCCCTACTAAATGAAAAGATATTTTTGCATGCAACTTTATTTGTGCGATGTGATCGTTGTGGACTGTAGAAACCCCAGTGGATACACTTAAGAAACTTTCGTAAAAAAAATATAAATACCCTTATTAATTTTCGTTTTATCTCAGGTTTAAGGATGTAAAACAAAGCTTTGTAATATTTATTTTAATTTGTATCTTATTAAATGCTACAATAACTTAAATGGTATGAATATATTATCTGTTGTGGTGATTCTGGTATGCTGCAATTGCCTGAATATGGTTCATTATTTATATTATGGTTATTATAATAATTACTACACTGGTCATTGTTTTAATTTCATATAAATTATATATGCAATGTCTCATTGCCGGATGATGTTGAGTGTCAGTTGAGTATACTGGCAAAGAGGCGCACAAAATACACAACGGAAAAGGGATAAAACATTTAAAAGTGTTATGGTGAAAATAATAAAAATGTTTTACGCCTAATATGTCTCAAATGCTCTTTTCCTGATTAAACATGGAATTTTCTATTTATATTTAATAACTTTCTTAGAAAGAGCAAAATGTATGTAGTCGAATAACTATAGACTGGGGACGGGGGAGGAGCGGATATTGAGTTTTTAAATATTGATAATAATAATTTAACCACTAATATGTTTGCACACTGTTACAGTATATGCGCTTTTAAGAATGGGTACAGTCTTAGAAATATACAGTACACTACTGCACAATCTAAATGTACCTGTATAGTATCTTACGAACAAAGGAAAATGTCCATTCAAGTAGAATATTCTACAGTATTTTTACCTAATCTGAAATATTTTGTTAAAATCAAAATGCGAAAGAAAAGCAATGTCATAAAATGTATTGATATGCACGACAAATAATCTGTCATCTCTGTTATACATAAATCATTCTGATGTTTCATCAGACAGCCCGCAGATGAGAAGTTTTGAATGAAATAATAAACGTAACAGTTACCAATAAGAATATTAGCAATCAATAGTTTATTGTCAGGTATATTCAGGAAATCAATGTTTTTAGTTTATATTTATTAATGGTTGAAAATATCTCTTAATCTGTATAAATATAATTGATAATTATTATGTAAAGTGTTACAGATTATTTTTTCATGTTTCGTTTAAATGGGTTATAATTGAGTATTCCACTTATCTTTTTCTTATTTCATGAATATTGGTTAAATCAGAAATCAGAAAAACAACTAGAATGTCTTATATCTTTTATTACCAAACTAGAAACAGGAGATTTGGAAATTGTATCTGTTATCAGAAAGCGGCTTGTCGTGGTGAGAGTGACAGCAATCTGGATCCTATCCCCGGAGCACAGGGCGCAAGACTGGACATGACTGCTTTCACTGTGGACTAGTATCACGGAGTTATTGACAATTTGGCATAGTCCATTAAATCTTCCCTGGATGTTTTTGGAGAGGAAAAATGCTGCGTACGGCGAACACGGGGCGAACGCAAACTCCAAAGAGAAGTTCCAGACGGGAATCAAACTGGGTGCCACAAACAGCCTTAACAACCATCGTGCCATCCCGATTTATAGTCGTCATCATCATCATCATCATCATCATCACTGTAATTCAGGTTTAAATGTTTAAAGTTCAAATAAAGCTTTGATGTTAATGTCAGTAGTTCACCTGCTCCCGCTTAAGTAATAGATATGGGAAAATGACTGGTAAAAGCATTGTTACCAACTGAAACTGGAACTGATAAACACGTTTTCTGTTGCCATTATGCTGGAAATGTCTCCCTCTTGCGGAATTTAAGAGAAACGCTACAGGGGTTTAGTACGTGTTCCTGTGTTCAGTTTATGCCTCTTTAACAAAATAGGTTTTCTAGACTTTTGTCTGCTTCTTTGTGAAATGGACATTATGAATAAAGTCATAATAGCCATTCTAAAGTGAATAAAATAAATTGCCAGGCACCCCAGTTCCAATTTTGCTGCACAATGAATAAAAAATAATGCATGTGCCAAATTACTCTATTTTTGGCTGCTTAAATTGGTCGATTTTTGTTTCATTTTTTTCAATTGAAACTGAATACATTGAAAATGGTCTTTACTGTCCCTCAAAATCAAGAAGGCCTTCACCCTAACCTTAGTGTGTGTAATAGAGTAATTTGATCTTCAGAGGGTCAAAGGTAGCTGATGACAATAAAGTAAAATGTCAGAACATGATCTTCATGAACATATTGCAGCAGGTAGAAACATAATGAATATTGTGGAAGGTTAAGAGCTGACTGACTTTGAATGGTGATTGACTCTACAAAGAACTTCTGAATGTTTCTGAATAGGTAAGTGTATCAATGGTGACAAGCAACTCTATTTGAACATCAGTTATCAAACAAGATTTAGTTGTTTTATTGAAAGCTCATGTATTCCTTACTCTCAGCACAATCCCAAGCGTACAATTATGGTGACATATCTGGGGTGTCAACATCTAAAAAGCAGAACTGGAGGCCATGTGAATCACATGTCTCAGGGTCATTATGTGAAGGTAAAAAAAGCTCAAGCAATGACTCGTAATGCACCATATCAGTATGACGTAGCTCTGAGAAGACAATTGCAATATAAAATGATACAGTTGATACAGTTAACTGCTACTGTACCATCAAAAAACACTGTTAGACACAGAACAGCAAGGATGCAGAGGACTGCCAGTGTTAGCACTAAATAGAAGATCATTGACAGACTTAATTGATGCTGTATCAGTACTGTGGCACAGCTGGAAACCAGACACGGAGGATTAGAGAAGGTTATGTTTCTTTGCATGCTGTATGAGCTGCCTGGAGAAAGCCTTGCAAGAAACCTAGAAATGAAAGAAAATAAATATTTCAACAAGTAAAGAGGGTTTTAGGTTTAGATGTAAAAAAGGATGTACAAGCCTGCAAGATCATTTCTATACTGGCAGGCCATTTATGGTGAAACGTCAGTCAAAAGGCATTATTTAATCTCAGAGGCAGGGACAACAAAAGATTCAAAGACAGGTAGCCAAGAATACATTGTTATCATGTTTATATAACTGTTTTTAACTATAATAATGTTCAGCACAATCTGTGCACAGAAGTAAAATAATATTATAGACAGAAAAAAACATTGCCTGAAAAAACCTTCTATACACTTTTAATTTTGTTAGTAGTGTATGACCGAGAGAATCTCATATTGTTTCTTTACATTTATTTGTACAATCTGTAAGTAGTTCATTTTTTTATAAGAAAGTATCTTATGTAACAAAATCCCTCATATACAGTATGTAATATCTGCATGTACAAGTAAGAAATACACATAATATATAGTGTTATTAGAAAAGCTGTGGGATGGAATTGGAACTATAAATATTGTCTTGTGTCTGTAATTACTCAATTCACCTGATATTCTTACTGTTATGTTAGATTAAAACAAATGTGAAGTTAATTTTGAAAACAAAACCTTGATAACTACTGTTATCAAGCCAGCAGCCATATCACTCTGCAACTCACAACTGGCAACCCACTGAAGCTCAGCAGGTGTGAGCCTAGTCAGTACCTGGATGAAAAACTCTTGGGAAAAACTAAGGTTGCTGCTGGAAGAGGTGTTAGTGGGGCCAGCAGGGGGCGCTCACCCTGCGGTCCATGTGGGTCCTAATGCCCCAGTATAGTGACGGGGACGCTATACCGTAAACAGGAGCCGTCCTTCGGATGAGACGTAAAACCAAGACGCTGACTCTCTGTGGTCATTAAAAATCCCAGGGCGTTTCTCGTAAAGAGTAGGGGTGTAACCCCAGCGTCCTGGCCAAATTTCCCATTGGCTCTTAACAATCATGGCCTCCTAATAATCCCTCTCTATGATTTGGCTTCATTACTCTGCTCTCCTCCCCACTAATAGCTGATGTGTGGTGAGCGTTCTGGTGCACTATGGCTGCAGTCGCATCATCCAGGTGGGTGCTGCACATTGGTGGTGGTGGAGGGGAGTCTCCATTACCTGTAAAGCGCTTTGAGTGTAGTGTGGAGTGTATAGTGTAATTGCTTACACTATATAAGTGTAAGCAATTATTATTATTATTATTATTATTATTACTGTTAAAGGCATATTTTCTAAGTTAAATAAATCAGGGAATAACAGTTTAAAACTAAGGGCACCAACATGTATGTGTGTGAGAGTTCATTGCAGATTATCATTTTTTTCTTTACTAAAGTCACCGATCAGCAGAAAAATAAATAACATTTTGAATAACACCGTAAAATGGTGTTTCCATTTAAAAAATTCCCCAAACCTTAGACCTCTGTTCACAAATGATTGAAATAATTTAATCGATTTTTAATCAATTTTTCCTATATAGTATGTTTATACATCATATTTATTTTTATATTCTCAGTTTGCTGCATTGTAAAAGTCTGTGTATGACCGATTTAGCAAGTAAACATTTTCTGTCAAAACTCTTATTCTGATATTCCATCAAACAGATTGGATTTTATTAATTTTCATGTGAGTGTCTGCTTGTGTGTGCATATAATGAGCAAGTAAATATGAACAGAAAAGTAGTGACACAGTACACTCATATGTACCCAAAAATGGATCTTTTCATTAAATTAAAATTAACTTCCTACTAGCGATTTGAGAGTGGGGATATAGAACAACTAAACTGAAAAAATAAATACAAAGAATTTATGAACAGGTAAGCAAAACACACAGATTACAGTATGCCCTAATGACAGACTGCAACTGTATGACTGCATGCAGAACAAAACTAAAAACCAAGTAAAATGAAACTATTTCTTCTGCCTGTTCAAGAGGTAGGGTGTGCCTCCCAGTGACTGCCCAGGAAATGAGAGGATGGAATGCAATCTCCTTCCTCTATAGGTCAATCAGTCACTCAAGCCTCCACAGCAGGCCATCTTACAGCCTAGTTAAGCCTGTGCTTGATTTAGCATAGGGCTCTGCTCAGTGAACTGTTTGGTGGTAAGAGTTTTGATTTGGGGAACCACTTTCCCCAGATGTTGTTTACTGCCATTGTTCCTTTTTACCTTATTTATTATCTGATTACTTATTTTTCAAGCATGAAATATCCCTTTTAAGCAATGTTTTGGTTGTATACAGTACATTTCTAACAAAGGAAAAAGTAATAGGTTTATTCCATGCTGAAAAGAGAAGAAAACACAACACTTCGGCTGTGGACCCTTCTTCGGGTGTGAGCCTCTCACCCAATGAAGGCTCCACGGCCAAAACGTTGTGTTTGGAATAAACCTTTACTTGTTCCTTTGCAGCCTAAGCATGCTGACGCAGCTACCCACCTGAACTACATTTCTAACAATATTCTTATAAAGCATCTAGTAACTCACTTGTAAGATAACTTAAAGAAGTATTTATTCCTTTAATATCTCTGTTTGAAAAAAGAAATTTGAAAAGCAGAAGATTTTTACCAAAAAGTCTGAATTTGTGTCTCCAGTGTAATCCTGTATGTAATAACACAGTTAATTATTTCACACTGTGATATCAAAAAGAGAAAGAGTCAGCAAATACAACTTTATAGTTTATTTCTAAATATAGGGATTCATCACTCACCTTAAGTTTGTAAAAAATTCTGAATAGGGGCAGCAAGCATCTTGTATTTTATTATGGATCCAAATATACTGTAGCAATGACCAGTCTTTTTAGGTCACTTAAAACTATTATTAAAGAATGTTAGAGTACACTTAGGTCTTTTTCTAAAGATGTTACTTAAAAGAGTAAAAAGCCTAAAAGCACACACTATTGAACACTCCATTAAAGCACATAAAAATCAGGTTTTAAAAATTTACAGTAGACCTAAAGTAGTTTGTTTTGAATTTACAAGATTTTTAGGTTAGTGTGCCAGATTATGTATATAAAGTGAGATTATAGATTTATAAACAAAGTAGAAGGAATGGTCCAATCAGTCATCTTTAAGAAATAGGTCAGTTCTCAAAATGTATCTAATTTGGTTTAATTTCTTTGACCATTGTTTTCCTAAAGACACTTGTCAGTAAATAGCTGGAGATGC